CCTGATATATATTTATTGTAAAACATTTCAACTAAGAACCGTTGATTAAGAAAGCCAAATATATTATAACCTAAATTAGATAATTTGAATTTCATAAGTAACTTAGGATAGAATTCAGTAAATAGTATAGAAACAATACTAAGTGTAACAGTGAAGAATAAAGGTAATAATTTATAAAAAGTAGGAACGGCAAATTCTGTATCTAACATAATTTCATGTTTAGGGTGTATAAACAAACTGTTATCAGAAAAGAAATCAGATCCTAAACCTATAAATATATCTTTAGTAATATAACCAAAAAATATAGAAAATACGGCTAATATAATTAATGGTAAACTCATAAATATATCACCTTCATGTGCAGCATGGGCTTGTTTATAATTTACTATAGGTCCATTAGGGTTACTTAAAAAAGTTAAATATAAAACTTTAACTGAATAAAGTGTAGTAAACATTGCACCTATAGTTGCAATATAATAAACTGCTATACTAGATATGTAATATTTACCAAATGCAGATTCAATTATAAAATCTTTTGAATAGAAACCAGTCATAAAAGGAAAAGCTACTAAACTAAGAGAAGCTATTAACATCACTGAATAAGTTAAAGGTAAATATGATATTAAACCTCCATATTTTCTAAAATCCTGATTATCTGCAACAGCATGAATTACTGCACCTGCACCTAAGAATAATAAACCTTTATAAAAAGCATGATTTACTAGATGAAATAAGGCAATATTATATGAAGATAAACCAACTGCTATAACCATCATACCTAATTGACTCATAGTAGAATAAGCTATAACTTTTTTTATATCTTGTTGAAATAAACCTATTAAAGAACTAAATACTGTTGTTATTGCCCCTAATCATAAACATAATAATAACACTAATGAACTATATTCTATTAAAGGAGATACTCTTATTAATAAATAAACACCAGCTGTAACCATAGTAGCTGCATGAATTAAAGCAGATACTGGTGTTGGACCTTCCATAGCCATAGGTAATCATACATGTAAACCAACTTGAGAACTTTTAGCCATAGCACCTATTAATAAACATATACCAATAATAATAATAACATTTTCACTATAGAAGGGTGCCAGTGAAAATACTGTATTATAATCTAAATTACCATATGATCATAATATAGCAAACATACCAATTGTTAAAAAACAATCACCAACTCTATTAGTTAAAAAAGCAGAAATAGAACTTTGATTAGCAGCTATTCTTGTAAATCAAAAACTAACTAATAAATATGAACAAACTCCTACACCTTCTCATCCAACAAACATTAATAAGAAATTATCTGCTGTAACTAATATAATCATCATAAAAGTAAATAAACTTAAATAACTGAAAAATCTTTGATTATGAGGGTCGTGACTCATATACCCTATAGAATATAAATGTACTACTGAAGATACTATTAATACAGGTATTAACATTGATACTGTTAAACTATCGAAATTAAAACTTCATTTTATATTTAGTGATTCTGCATCTATTCATCTAAATAATTCTATTTTAACAGGTATTTGATTTAACCCTACTTCTATAAAAGCAATTATTGCTAAAATTGTTGTTATTATTACACAAGTACATGTTATTATACGTGCACCACTAACACCGATCTTTCTTCCAAAAAAACCGGAAACTATTGATCCTAATATAGGTAAAATTATTAAAGCTAGATACATTATTTATATTCTATTGCGATACTACCTCTTAATCTGTAATATGCTACTAATATACCTAAACCTATTGCTGATTCCGCACCAGCTATAGCTATTATATATATAGAAAGAGTTTGACCTAATATATCATCAAAGCTTAATGAACTTATTAATATTAAGAATGTAATTGATAATAACATTATTTCAATTGAGATAAGCATTAGTATTATATTTTTTCTATTTAAGACAAAACCTAATACTCCAATTAAATATAAGATTAGTGAAAAACTCATTGAATATTTTTAGATTAAATTATGGTATTGGATATATTATGAAAAACAATTATTAAAAATTGATTTATTATTTTTATAATTAAATTAATATATAATTTAATTAATTAAATTTTACGGCTATTCAAATTTTTTATGAAAAATGTATTAAAATAAATATATTATATTAAAATACCAAAAAAGTAACATAAACATGTTAAAACAAATTAACCTTCTATTTGATCATAAAGTCAGAATAAGAATTTTGGAAGAGAAGTAGATTGTATAGCAATAGGCATAGAACTATGTAGAATACCACAAATTTCTGAACATTGACCATAAAAAGTACCTTCTCTATTTAAATATACAGATGATTGGTTTAATCTTCCAGGGTAAGCATCACATTTAATACCTAATGATGGACAAGCATAAGAATGTATAACATCTGCTGCAGCTACTACAAATCTAGTGTGAGTTAATTCTGGAATTATAACTCTATTATCAACTTCTAATAATCTTAATTGTCCTAATTCTAAATCACTTTCTGGTATTATGTATGAGTCATATTCAATTGTTTCTTCATCAGCATTTACAAAATCTGGATATTGATAACTTCAATATCATTGATGACCTTCACCATATATAACTAATGCTGGATCAATAACTTCATCCATTAAATATAATAATTTGAATGAAGGAAATGCAATTAATATTAATATAAGAGCAGGTGTAATAGTTCAAATTAATTCTACTAAAGTACCATGATTTACATATTTATTTGATATTTTTTTATTTTTGAAATTCATAACTATAGATATCATCATTCAACTTACAGCAAATAAGATTATTGCTAAATAGAACATTATACTATTATGTAATTCTTCTATACCTTCCATTTGAGGTGCGGCGTTATCTTGAAAAAATATACCTCAGGGTTCTGGTGTATCATTTTTTATTATATTTATATTTATATAATTACTGTTTTTGATAATATTCATATTAAGATATAATTAATATCAATTTTATAAGTAAGATTAAAAAGGAAAAATGTAAATTTATGATAATTTTAGTATTGAATACTAATTTTTTCTTAAAAATTATATATAGTAATTTTACAATAGTTTATATATAATATATATTGTATAATAAATAAAATGTATAATAGTGTAAACCATCTAATATTATAGAAGGATATATACCTAGTAATATAGTAAATAAAACCAATACAATTAACATAAAAAATTCTCTTCTATTTAAATCTGGTATATATTCAAATCAGTTTTTAAAAAAGAAAGAACCTGCAAAACATATTCTGTTAAACATAAATATAGTATAAGCAGCAGAGAAAACAATAGATGAAGAAGCTAGAATACCTGCAAGAGGTAATCTTTCAAATACACCATATAAAGACATAAATTCTCCAACAAAGTTTAGTGTAAGAGGAGCACCACAATTACCTAAGGATAACATAAAGAATAAAATAGATAAAATAGGCATAACTTGAGCAATACCTCTATAATATGTTATTAATCTAGTACCAGATCTATCATACAATACACCACCTGCTATAATAAATAAACCAGAAGAAACAAAACCATGAGCTAAACCTAAACATATACCACCTTGTATTCCTTGTAAAGTATTACTGAAAACACCTGACAAGTATACAGCTGCATGTGATACAGATGAATAAGCTATTAATTCTTTTACATCTATAGTTCTAAGTGTACTTAGACTAGCATATATTATAGTTAGAATACCTATAAGGAATACAATATAAGTATAATATAAAAAAGCTTTTGGTACTAAAGGTAAAATTAATCTAAAAATACCATATAAACTTAATTTTAATACTATTGCAGCTAAAATAATACTACCTGATAAAGGTGATTCAACATGAGCTTTTAATAATCAACTGTTTAAATAAATAGTTGGTGTTTTAACAGCAAAAGCAATAAATATACCAATGAATATAAATACTTGTGTAATGTATAAAAAATTTGTTTTTGATAAAACATTAAAATCTGTACAACCTATTAAAGATTGCATAGTTATAATAGATAATAACATAAATAAAGAACCTAGGAATGTATATAAGAAAAAATAAAAACTTGCTCTTATTTTAGCACTAGATCCAAATATACCAATTAAAATAAATAAAGGAGCTAATATACTTTCAAAGAATATATAAAACATTAAAATATCTAAAACTAAAAAAATTAATAATAATAATGCTTCTAATAATAAAATTATTACTAGAAAATATTTTACTTTATTATCGATAGATTTTCAATTAGATATAATTGCAATTGGCATTATTAATGTAGTTAATAATATAAAGTATATAGATAACCCATCTATACCTAAATAAAAATCATAATAACCAATTTTATAGTGTTCTTGTACAAATTGAAAGTGTTTACTACTATTATTAAATAATAATCATATTATTAAAGATACTACTAAATCTATAATTGTAATAGCTAAGGCAAATGTTTTAAGAATTTTTGAGTTTTCTTTTAAGTCATAAGAATTATACGATAAAATCAAAAATATACCAATAAAAGGTATTAAAATTAAAGAAGATAATAACATTTAAATATAAATTAATAAAATTTTACTACAGATTATAAGTTACATAAATACTAAACTAAAAAAATTGTTCTTGAATAATAAATTTTTATTAAAATATTATACTAATATGTAGCATATGATTCCTCGATGACTTGAACATCGAAAATATTCTTATCAAGAATACGCTTTACCGATTAAGCTAAGGAACCTACTTATTAAATATAACAAGAGCATTCAGACTTGAACTGAAAACATGAAGTTTGAAGCTTCTTATTTTACCTATTAAACTATACTCTTAAGAGTAAAACGGAAAAGAGGTGATTTGAACACCTATGTGTAAAACACAATATTTAGCAAATACCTTACCCTACCAATGGAAACTTTTCCCATATAATACGAATTAGACCGGTCTCGATCCGGCATCATTTTCCTCGACAAGGAAACAGTTTACCAATTAACATTACTAATTCTTTACGGCTAGCCAAACTCGAAATGGCATAATTCGTTTGGAAGACGAACGGTTTACCATTAACCTATAGCCGTTTTAAAATATCGGAGCACTATGGTTCGAACATAGAAGATCCTCAACCCAAATGAAGCGCCTCACCAACCTGGCTCTACTCCGTTTACCAGGAGAGAAATTTGAATTCTCATTATTAATGCATGAAATTAAAGTTCTAACCAATTAAACTATCCTGGCATACATACTCTTATTTAAGATTCGAACTTAAATCATGATATTAGAAGTATCATGCTCTACCCTTGAGCTAATAAGAAAATAGGAGAGAAGAGATTCGAACTCTTAAAAGCATAATACTATTGAGTTTACAGCTCAACCCTTCTTACCAATAAAGGAACTCTCCTAATCTATTAAGGCCTAAAGGATTCGATCCTTTATTATAGCGATTAAAAGTCGCATGTTTTACCAATTAAACTAAAGCCTCTTTTGCTAACAAATATTTCTAGTGTATAATACATTAATAAACTTTTTTTATAATAGCAAAAAAAAATACATTGTACTTTTATTAATATTTTTGTTTAATAGTAATAACTATAGAACCTACCATAGCTAATAGTAAAATTATAGATGTAATTAATAATCAAATAGAATAATTAGTATACATAACGTTACCTATACTAGTTATATCTATTATATCTACAATATTATTATCTCAATTATTAGATGATACAAAAAATATATTTGTAATATCATAATTTAAATTAGTTTTTGTATAAGGAGATAAATTATTATAAGGTATAAATAATGCCAAAATAACTAATATAGCTAAAGGTATATTATTGTTAGTGTTACTTATAAGCTCCGAAACTCTAATGTTAATAAGCATTAAAATAAATAAAAATAATATTGAAACAGCTCCAACGTAAACTAAAAGATAAGATAAACCAATAAAATTTATACCTAAAAATATAAGATAACAAGAAATACATGAAAATAACATTATTAAATGTAAAACAGATATTATTGGATTTTTACTTACTATTATAAATATACCCGCAAATATAGATAAAATAATAATTAAATCTAAAAATATAACAAAAAAACCATGAAATTGATTAGATATAAAAAACATCAAAAAAAATTTTTAATCTTAAAAAGAAAACGGAAATTTTTTATAGGAATTGAACCTATATAAGTTAGACCTGTATATATATATATTTAATAAACACCCTTATCATCAAAGAGATTAAAATCCTGAGGTTAACTATCTATAAAAACATATGTAGGTGTTCTTGATCTATGTAATCCACCTGAAGTTGGTCTAACAATTTCACCTTTATATGAATAATTATATATTTCTGAAATTGATTCAAATTATTTTTTAAAAAGTATTCCTCTTCGATCTTCAATAATTTCATTTAAAGATATTAAGTCCATGTTTTGTACATTTTATTTTTATAAAATATGTATTTTATAAAATTCATTGAAAAAATCAAAATATATATATATATATGAATGAAAAATATATTAATTTTATTAAAGCTTTTAGGAATCGAACCTAAATAAAAACCTAGAACTATAATGTAGACAAAAGTCTACCAAATATAATACTATATTTAATTTTTAATATTAATGCATCCCGTGCAATTTCCATTACACGAACCATATTTCGACTTAACACCAATAAAAGTCACGCATACGAAAATTACAAATTTAAAAATTTACAACTATTTAAGTAAAAATAAAATAAATAAGCAACCAAACTTATTGCGCATACTTCTTTCAGCGCCTGACGAGTGGTTAGTACCCATCTGAGATAAAATTCACCGTGACGTGGTGATTCACGATTACTAGTAATTCCATATTCATGTAGTCGAATTTCAGACTACAATCCACAAATAGTTATATCCAATTTTATGGGATTAGCTCCATTTTACAATATTGCATCCCTTTGTAGAGGTATATGTGGCACGTCTATAGCCCACGCTATTAAGGCCATGATGACTTGTCTTGGTCCCTGTTATTATTTCCATTTATAGAAAAACACTCTAAATATAAATAAAGCTAGGGTTTTCGTTAATTAAAGGAATTAACCAAAATCTCACGACATTAACTGAAGACAGCCGTGCAGCACTTGTATAAAAATATTCAAGGCGTGGTAAGGTTTTTCGCGGATCATCGAATTAAATAACATACTTCACTACTGGTTTCAGAAACGGTCTAATGATTTCAATTTGTGCATTTCCGCCTTAGTCATGAGGTGGAGTGCTTACACTTTCATTTATAGGCCAAATATATCTAGCCTATGGCACTCATCATTTTCTCCAAGGACTACTAGGGTATCGAATCCTTATCGCTACCCAAGGCTTCGTCCCTCAACGTCAGTTTTTACTTAGAATAAAGCCTTCGCCGTTACCCGTCCTACCAGTATAATAGGATTTTGTCCCTCCTCTGGTAATTCGTATATTCCCACATAAAACTCTAGAAAACTAGTTCCTATTAAGGCTTGGTAATCTGTCTAGGTACCCTTTATACCCATTAAAGATGAATAACACTTGTCTTTTACGTATTACCGCGACTGCTGGCACGTAATTTGGTCAAGACTTATAGATAAAAAATCGTCATTCTCTTTATTTTATCTAGAACTTTATACGACTTTCATTTTCCATTCTTCCAAGTTGCTGGTTCAGTCTTTCGACTATTGACCAATATTCCCCACTGCTGTACAATTCTGCCCTGGGCTTTTTTCAGACCCAGTGTGGTCGATCGACCTCTCAGTCTCGACTACCAGATTTTGAGCTAGATTTTTATCTATTACTCATCCAGAATATCTATTAACATCTTAAAGCGAATTTTTATCTATCTTTTTTTTATAAGGGATTTTTTTTCTTCCTTACTTTAAGGTAGTTATAAGATAATTTACTCACCTGTACACCACTTCATAATTAATTAATATATAATTAATATATATTAATTATATTAGACGTTTGATTAGCATGTGTCAAGCATTTGGATAGCGTTCATTCAGAGCCATCATCAAACTCAATTTATTATACTACTAGACTTATTGTATCTTTTTATTAAAGTATTTAGATTCGAACTAAATTTATACCTAAAAGATTCTATTTTTTACTTTTTTATGTTATAAATTTATATTCAATTTAATAAAGAATATTTAATATAAGCTAGCTCTTGTTAATTCATACATATCCTTAATACAGCTAAATATATATTACTTTTTTCGTTTTTTATTTATTTTCTACTTATCATCAGAACTCTTACTCTTATTATTTTTTTAATTTATATTTATTTAGCTCTAACTTTCCTATACTATATATATAATAGTAATGTATATTATTTATATTTTAATATTTTTCTTTATTAATGTAAATCTAAACTATCTTTAATATATGATGAAGATAATACTACAAACACTTGTGCTTGGATAAATGCTATACCTATTTCTAGTCCTGAGAAAGCTAGAATAAATAATAATGGCACTAATCCTAAAAAGAAGTATATAAATCCTGATTTCATAATATTATATGTAAATCCTGCTAAAATGTTAAGAAGCATGTGACCACTTAAAATATTAGCTCCTAATCTTAGACCTAATGATACAGGTCTTGATAAATATGAGATAAATTCTATTAATACTAATAATGGTAATAAACCTAATGGACAACCTGATGGTACTAATAATGAGAAAAATTTTAAAGAATGTACTTGGAAACCTAAAATAGTTGCTCCTATTACTATTGTAAAACTAATTGAGAATGTTAATACAAAATGTGATGTAGGTGCGAAACTATAAGGTACCATACCTACTAAATTATTTATTAAAATATAAATAAATAAAGCAGATATTAAAGGGAAAAACATTTGACCTTTTTTTGCATTTATTTGATTTATTACTATGCTAAAAACTGTAGCATATATAGATTCCATTGATATTGATCAATTATTAGGTGTAATAATATTATAATTAGTTGCTAATATATACATCATAAATATTAAAATTGTTGTTATTATTAAATATAATCCTATATTAGTTAAAGATAATTGTATATTTCCTAATAAATCCGCTTTTATGCTAAGTAAATTTCTTATGGTGAATTGATCCAAAGGACTTTGATTTAAGTAAGTCACTAGATATTTATATATTTTTTGTTGTTTGTAAAAGATAAAAAAAATTTTTTTAATTAATATCTCTTATATTGTTGTGTTTTTATTTGATTCTAAAGTTTTTAAAAATATTCGAGTTTTAAATAATCGCACAAATCTTGGTAATATATATTTAGAAAATAAATATATTATAATTATTAATAATAGAAAATTATAAGTAACTTGATTTACAAAAAAAAATGGTATAAGTTGTGGCATTAAATTATTGATTCAAAAATAAATATATAAATTTATTATACAATATATGTTAATTAAGTTTATTAAACCTAGTATAAAGGAATACGGAAGATTCGAACTTCTTCTTAATGATCTGCAATCATAAGGCAAAACCTTTTGCTACATATTCCTTAAAAATTAATAACATTTTAAATTTTTAAATTTGTAAGTATTAATTATAAAAAAAAATATGCATAAAAATTAATATAATATTAATAATATTAATTTAAACTCACAGCACTTTGTATTGGTAAACTTACGAAAGCATGAGGTTTAGGTGGGCTATCTAGAGCTCATTCTAAAGATACATAATTTCTATTAAATAGTGTTTGGAATAAATCAGAGAAGAATTCTGGTATTAATCAAGGATATTTAGCTGTAACATCTCCTTCAACTAATTGCATGTATATTATGTGTAAAAATAATACAGTAGCAATTACACTAACTATAGAACCAAAACTACTTATTAAATTTCATCCTGCAAAAGCATCAGGATAATCACTTATTCTTCTTGGCATTCCTTGTAAACCTAAGAAATGTTGAGGGAAAAATGTTAAATTAACACCTGCAAATAAGATAAAGAAATGTACTTTTCCTAATAGTAAATTATAATTTAAACCTGTTATTTTTGGTATTCAGTAGTATCATGCACTAAATAAAGCAAAAACTGCTCCTAAAGATAATACATAATGGAAATGAGCAACTACATAATATGTATCATGGAATGCAATATCAAGTGATGCATTAGCTAAAACAACACCACTTAATCCACCTATAGTAAACATAACTACAAAACCTAAAGCAAATAACATTGGAGGTGTTAAATGTATTACTCCACCGTAAGTAGTAGCTAATCAGCTAAATATTTTAATACCTGTAGGTACAGCTATTATTAAAGTAGCTGCTGTGAAATAGGCTCTTGTATCCACATCTAAACCAACTGTATACATATGATGACTTCACACTACAAAACCTAAAACACCAATTGACATCATAGCATAAACCATACCTAAATAACCAAATACACTTTTATTTGAACCGGCTGAAATTGTAGTACTTATTATACCAAATCCTGGTATAATT